ATTACCAAGCGTTGGATTACCACGCGTTGCATTACCACGCGTTGCATTACCAGGCGTTAGATTACGAGGCGTTGGATTACCAAGCGTTCGATTACGACGCGTTGGATTACCACGCGTTGGATTACCACGCGTTGTATTACCAAGCGTTAGATTACGAAGCGTTAGATTACGAAGCGTTGGATTACCAAGCGTTGGATTACCAAGCGTTGGATTACGACGCGTTGGATTACCAAGCGTTGGATTACCAAGCGTTGGATTACCACGCGTTGGATTACCACGCGTTAGATTACGAAGCGTTGAATTACCAAGCGTTGGATTACGACGCGTTGGATTACCAAGCGTTGGATTACCACGCGTTGAATTACCAAGCGTTGGATTACCACTCGTTGGATTACCACGCGTTGTATTACCAGGCGTTAGATTACGAAGCGTTGGATTACGACGCGTTGGATTACCAAGCGTTGGATTACCAAGCGTTGGATTACCAAGCGTTGGATTACCAAGCGTTGGATTACCAAGCGTTGGATTACCAAGCGTTGGATTACCAAGCGTTGGATTACCAAGCGTTGGATTACCAAGCGTTGGATTACCAAGCGTTGGATTACCAAGCGTTGGATTACCAAGCGTTGGATTACCAAGCGTTGGAATTATCACGCGTTGCATTACTGCGTGTTGGATTATCACGCGTTGGATAACTACGCGTTATCTGAAGCTGTCGCTCTCGCGTCTGCGCATGCGTAATCCTCGCGCTCTGAATGGTCCGTGTTTTTCCTTAATAATTTAAAAACGAAGCTTCAAACCCCATTTTTGCAAAGGGAAATTTTATTCCGAATCATGTCAGCTACCCCCCAATTCAGGAACTTACACTAATTGTGAGACACCCTGTATACAATATACATATAGTGTATATATAGAAATATAATTCTTATATCTCTACCTTTGTATAATAGAAAAACTCTGTACATACACATTAAACTACTATGAATAGCTGCAGTCTCAGTATCAATTACAATGTTAATTAAACAATACAATGAATCCCGCATTTATCTGAAACCTAGCAGAAAGTCTTTCAGAAGATCGCATTTGAATATCCCCACCCATTTAGCGTTACAATATTCCTTTATCAGCGTTATATCTTCTCGCTCGACCGAGATTCTCACGTTTAAAGAAAACAGCGTTTCGAAACGGTCCACGGTCGTTAACTTCCATTTTCCACACCGAAAGAAAGATGGTTGCTTAATAAACAAAGAGATTCGCAAAATTTTGCGGAAGTTTCGGTAACTTCCTCGGCTTTAAACCGCGCATCCGTTCGCAACGAAACAATTTTCGTAGAAAGAAAGCGGAAGGAGGGCTTTTGTGCCGTGTTCCCCTTTTGACTCGAACGCAATGCGAAAAGAATGATTGCTTAAACTTATATAAGTACCGGTGCAGCTTGCGTCAATGATTCCAGCAACGTCTCCGTTACATAATCACCGTTCGGAATTCAATTTACCGTGCCTCTTCGATTCGTTATGCTCGTCGAATTCTGATCTTCCATCTTCCCTTTGCTGTTATGTCAACCGGTAGACGTCGGGTCTCGGAGACCCCACAGTCAATGCTACTGCTTTCAGAAATTTGTTTTGTAAATTTATATTGCACCTTAGTTTAACTTATTTTTATATTTTTTGTAGGTGTTTCAAGAAATTGTATTTTGGCAAAATGGGTATTAAAATAGATTTATTGAAGGTAATAACAATTTTTATAATTAATACTATTATTGAAAAAGTCTATTGATTTTTGTTCTGGCTCCTCAAAATATCAGAAGTAATATTTTTATTTCTGTTGTGGTTACACTACTTTCTTAAATATATTTACTGAACTCAATAGCAACTTTCATAATTAATACTATTATTGAGAAAGTCTATTGATTTTTGTTCTGGCTCCTCAAAATGTCAGAAGTAATATTTTTATTTCTGTTGTGGTTACACTACTTTCTTAAATATATTTAGTGAACCTAATAACAATTTTTATAATTAATATTATTATTAAGAATGTCTATTGATTTCTGCTGTGGCTCTTCAAAATGTCATAAATAATATTTTTATTTCTGTCGCTGTTACACTATTTTCCTTGTATTCAACTATTGTATAATATTAACTTCTTATGCATCAAAATGTATGTTGACTTAAGATGATTATTGTGTTAATAATTATTAATAAATGTTTTAATAATTATGGTGTGTATAACGTAATTTTTGGAAGAAGTTATTTGAAGTTCGAAGTTTACAATTATTGTTGGTGTATAATAATGCTATTCAAGATAATATTTAGTAGAGTTCTTCTAATTATTGGAGTATGTATTTCGTGGTGCCAGTCACCAGTGACATCTACGGCGAGTTATTGAGCTAAAAGAAGCAATTTCACTAGCATGGGCTGACTTGGACCAGAGTTACATAAAGAAATTATATAAAAGTCTGTTTAATTCAATGATTGAAGTAATATGAAACAAAGGAGAATTTATTGTACTATTACTGATGTATTTAGCAAAAATTAAATATGTAATCTCATATGATATTATATAATATAATCGAGGGACTTTAAAGCATGGTGGAAGTCTAACCTAACGTAAGACGTTAAAAAATGATGGGCACCTATTAAACCAAATTTCTGAATGTAATACTAAACACAAATACTTTTTATTGTAGTCACAAAGCTAGAATTTTATAATAGTAATAGGAATTTTTGCTAAAGTAAAGATAGGTATTGTATATCAAGTCACATTTCAACTATGTCACCCAAAAAGTGTAACACTATTATTTAATTCTATATAAATATTTCCTTCATTCACGAAAACATTAAAAAGTGTAATAATTTGATACAGTCATAAATCTAATTTAAACAGTAAATATAATGTGACATTAAGTATGATTTGAAAATGCAGTTTCATAATTTAGTACCACTGAAATCGTACACATTTCTATCAGAATTGTATCATTCATTTAATTTACAAAAACACCTGGTAACAACAAATGATCATGTTTTACAAATAACTACTAAAACTTATTACTAAAAGTACATTTAAGATACGTTCTCGTCGTAAACTTAAACAATAACAATGATCTTAATGCTTCGAGCTAATTTAGAGTGTCATATTTTTATCCAGCAAAGTAGATAATCGCAGTTCTCGGTGACGAATGGCGAACAGATAAGATAAATTATGGAAAAATGATCTTTCATACTACTTTGTCTTGCTTACAAATGGAAAAACGATAACTGCAATTTAAACGAGTATCGAGTTGCGTGTAATTATTGCTGGCCTT